GATCTATGGTTGAGATCGACGATCTATGGTTGAGATCGATGATCTATGGTTGAGATCGATGATCTATGGTTGAGATCGACGATCTATAGTTGAGATCGATGATCTATGGTTGAGATCGACGATCTATGGTTGAGATCGACGATCTATAGTTGAGATCGAGGATCTATGGTTGAGATCGACGATCTATGGTAGAGATCGAGGATCTATGGTTGAGATCGACGATCTATGGTTGAGCAACCCGTTCTCGTAAATTCGTAAAGTCAATATTGACTTATTAACTACGTGCATAGGTGATATACTAAACATAATAGATACCCTTAAAAAGATTCATAGAAAACACCGACCTTACCTAACCTTGTTAGTATCTTAAGATGAGCATCTTATTGCTTCGTAATTACAATTATTACTTAACCTATACCTATTATAGGTTAGGTAATAATTGTAATTACGAAGCAATAAGATGCTTATCTTAACATACTAAGTAGGTTAGATAAGGTCGGTGTTTTCTATGAATCTTTTTAAGGGTATCTATTATGTTAAGTATGTCACCTATGCACATATTTAATAAGTCAATATTGACTTATTAAATTTGCGAGAACGGGTTGCCAGGTCAGTTACTAATGACCTTTTCCCTGGATGCAACACACAGAGTATGTGTCTTAACTCCAGGGGTATTTATATAATGCTAAGGTGAACAGAGGCATCAGGTATAGAGGAAAACGTGCCCAACTGTCTCCCGACCGGAGATAGAACCCGGGGTTTCCAGTTGTGAGAGCAGGCAAGTTGGAAAACATTTGATAATAAACCAGATCTTTGTGGTTACTAATCAACCAATGAAGAATATTCTTATCAAACACATAACAAAAATATGTATAGCTATGCAATTTTATGTTAAAAAAGAAAGATTATATATATAGCCAAACGTGACAGCGCGCGCATGCGCCTGTCGGCATGACTGCCATTGTAACCCCCCTCCCCCCCTCCCCCCTCCCCCCTCATGTCATTGACTCATGACAAATGTGTTGGCATTTGCGCAAGACTGATATTTGCTGTGATGAGTCTTGTGTTTGTATACCATTAGGTACACACGCTCGGACCCATTACCTTGCACCACACACCTCTTAAGGAATGAAAATGGTGTACATGTCTGAGCTGAGGATGGTGTGGCTGGGGGGGGGGGTTGTGATGATCAGGGAGACTTTACTACTCATCGCGTGTGAGAAAAAGGAGTCATTGTGGTACTGAAGGTGGTTGGGGGAGATGAGTGACAAGAGAGTTCCCAGCCTCTCCCTCGTGCTGGCCTCGCATCCCAAGCAGGTCAACCTGTAGTTAGCAACGTCAGCTAACAGATGAGCAACAGGCAACAAATCAACCCGTTCTCGCACTTTCTTTAAGTCAATATTGACTTATTTAAATACGTGCATATGTGACATACTAATTTATTGTGAATATTTTAGTTTACCTTGAAAAGTTTCATAGAAAACACCGACCTTACCTAACCTTCTTAGTATGTTAAGATAAGCATCTTATTGCTTCGTAATTACAATTATTACTTAACCTATTATAGGTATAGGTTAAGTAATAATTGTAATTACGAAGCAATAAGATGCTTATCTTAACATACTAAGAAGGTTAGGTAAGGTCGGATGTACAAATATCACAATATAAATGATGTTGAAGATGAAAAATAAATCAGATATTACAAAAGTTGCTTAGGTGAAGGTCCGCTAACTCGCTCTAATTCCAAGACATTGTCAGAGTCAGAAAGTTTTAGTAGCAGCAAGTTGTTTTGTGACATTTTGAAGTCTTGAATAAATCGTTCGATAGAATTCATCTTTGCTTTTTACGAAATTCATGTAATGGTACCTGGAGAACACTTATTATTACTTTCATGTTCCTCCTATATACGATCAGTTTTGTACTTATCCAACAACTCCCACTCATGTGCTTATCCATCCACTCCCACTCATAATCCACCACATGGACTGGACGGTAGAGCGAAGGTCTCGCGTCATGCAGGTCAGCGTTCAATCCCCGACCGTCCAAGTGGTTTGACACCATTCCAATTTGACACCCTGCCCAATTCCAAATCGTTTTCCTGACCCCTTCCCAGTACTATAGAATCGTAATGGTTTGGCGCTTTCTCCTGATAATTCCCTCCCACTCATAAACGTACTGGTTAACCATACCGTCCTCGCATATAAAGATCCAAACTCGTTAATCCAGCCACCAAACCCAGCCCGTCCTCCAAACAAAGACCCAAAAGTGATTCCATCCACCCGCCAAACCCGCTGTTTATGACTGATGACGTTCGAACACTTCCGGAACAAGGGCTTCATTGACGAATTTTGTTCGAACCACAACGCTGTAAATGCTTCACCCACGTACTACAAATACAAATAATCGCAACAGAACCTAAACACCTAGGTTAGGTTAGGTTACCTATATATGCACAATATGCTAATATATTATAATATTAATTTATATTTGAGAAAATTCCTGTTTTGAATGAACAGCATGTAAAAATTTATGAATGCGTCTGTGGGGTCGACCGCTGGATGGAATGGACTTAAGTCGGGTTGGCTTATCAAGGTCTCTCTTGAACACTGTGAGGGGCGGCCAGTTTTGCCCCTTATGTGTAGTGGAAGCGTGTTGAACACTCTCTTGGGTCTCTGAAGTTGATAGAGTTCTCTCTCAAAGTACCTGTTGCATCTCTGCTCTTCAACGGGGGTATTCTGCACATCCTGCCATGCCTCCTGGTCTCAAGTAGTGTTATTTCTGTGTGCAGGTTTGGGACCAGCCCCTCTACTATTTTCCATGTGTAAATTATTATGTATCTCTCCCGCCCGCGCTCAGGAGAATACAAATTAATCGGTCCCAATAGTTTGATATTTTAGAGTGGATTCTAGCAGTAAACGAATCTCTGCACGCTCTCCAGGTCAGCAATTTCTCCAGCTTTGAAAGGTGCTGTCATTGCGCAGCAGTACTCCTTTCTAGAGAGCACTGGCATCTTGAAAAGTATCATCATCGGTATAGCATCTCTAGTGTGAAAGGTTCTTGTTATCCAACCTGTCATTTTTCTTGCAGTTGTGACGGCTACTTTATTGTGTTCTTTAAAGGTAAGGTCTTTCGACATGAGTACACTTAAATCCTTTACATTGTCTTTTCGTTCTATGTTATAATTTGACTGCGTTTTGTACGTGGTTTCCGTTTTTATATTTTCATTTTTTCCGTAGCGCATGAGCTGGAACTTATCTTCGTTAAACACCATATTATTTTCTGTAGCCCATAGAATGACTTGATCTACATCTGACTGGAGGTTTGCCGTGTCCTCTATGTTGTCTACTCTCATGAAAATCATAGTGTCATCTGCAAAGTATGATACAGTACCATAGATGATATCCTTGTCTATGTCTGATATGAGGATGCGAAAAAGTACTGGAGCAAGCACAGTACCCTGGGGGACTGAGCTCTTCACGGTTGATGGACCGGATTTTATTTTGTTGACTATTATGCATTGGGTTCTGTTAGTCAGGAAATTGTAGATCCATCTGCCCATTTTTCCGGTAATTCCTTTTGAACGCATTTTATGTGCAATAACACCATGATCACATTTGTCGAAGGCTTTTGCGAAATCTGTGTAAATTACATCAGTATTTTGTTTGTCTTCCATGGCATCTAATGTCATGTCATAGTGGTCCAGCAACTGTGACAGGCAAGAGCGCCCTGTTCTGAAACCATGTTGCCCGGGGTTATGGAGATGCTGTGATTCCATGTATTTTGTGATCTTACTTCTTAGCACTCTCTCAAAGATTTTTATGATGTGTGATGTTAGTGCTTTCGGTCTGTAATTGTTTGCCTCTGCCTTATTTCCTCCTTTATGGAGTGGTGCTATCTCCGCTGTTTTTAGTATGTCGGGGATAATGCCAGTATCTAGGCTCTGTCTCCAAAGAATATGAAGGGCCTGCGATAGTGGTACGCGAACCTTTGCGCTGGGTACGCGAATCTTTGCACTGGGTGCTCGAACCCTTGCACTGGGTGCTCGAACCCTTGCACTGGGTACTCCCATGCAACTCCCTACTGATTTTCTCACTGATAAATCACGTTAATGAGATTGTGGGAATATACAGTATCATTATTATGAAAATATGGTGTGGACTGTTACAAGACGTAGCGGTGCAGATGAACAGTAGATTTGAAAAAAAGGCTAAAGACTAATGTTATGTTGATGACTATGTCTTGATGGCATTATCTCTCCCAAGACAACCGTTATCATTCAAGTTTTCCAGACTTGTTGCCATCTTAGAAAAAGTCGGAAATGCCATTCATAAATCAGAAACACATTGAGAGGGATGTCTTCCTCTATTAGCATGGAGCAACCCAGCAAACACATAACATATAACCTCAATGTTATGTTGTATGTTGAGGGTATGTGGTGTGCTTACCGGGAAGTCGTAAGAATTACTCATTAGTAGTAGGCATCCATCAGTCTCAGGAGACTATGGAGTTACGCTCTGGTTGTCGGTCTGGAGTGGCCTCTCCAGGGCGCAAAGCCTGGGTAGGTCGATATGGAGGAGAAGATGTTACCCATGCAGCAGGTCCTCCCTTTCTACGGCGCCGAAAGTCTCCAATGGATAGGCAAACGCTAATACAATTGGTTCCAGCGCTAATATTGGTTCCAGCGCTAATATGATTGGTTCCAGAACACAATTACGAATGCATCTTTGGCTTTAAGTGGCAGTTTGACAAGTATGGCCTGAGGATGGCATGGTTCCCCACTTTCCGTTGTACACATCTTTATTTACACTGATTTATGTTAATGTATTGACACTAAGTTAGTTCCCATTACTGGATTCAATAACTTTACATGTATAGAAAAGACGGTTGATGAAATTGTTAAATATTTTATTAACATTTATCTAAAACTGTTCGTAGAAAATTGTGGTACAAGAACATTCCAACAAATATCACAGGACTTAAAGGTAAACATTTGCGAGGAATCAAAGCTCTGGCTGAAGGAAGAAGCTGTGAAGGAGGAGGATGAGCTATGGAAGCGCGGCCTGACTCACGCCACCAGGAGCAGTCATATCCCTGCACCAACTAACGTGAATGGACCAGCTTGTTCGTGATCGAAGCAGAGATCTGTCGGCACATCCTTGCTTGGGATCCGCTTCCATCCCACCGGGATCGTTCGGTATGAGAGAAGCAGTTGATAACCGCTGACAATAACCCTGCACAAGTTGCAACCATTAAGATGGAAGAAGTGAGACCATCACTGGTAGTAAATGCTGACGAGTCACTTGTGGGAGAGCTATTGGTAGTATCCCTGCCCTGAACCGCCACCCTGGCCGCCACCGCCACCGCCGCCACCACCACCTTGACTGTAGCCCCCTTGACCGGAACCACTAGGAAACTGGGCCTGGCCCTCGTAAGTGACGGTAGGGTGGAAGCCCCACTGGTCGACGAAATAATCAACCACCAGTCGGCGGCCGTCGGGTAACTGGACGTAGTAACTGTGGACAAGAAATATTCATTAACAGCAGCTCCTAACTCCAGTCGCTGGATTCTTTGCTAAACGTAGAAATAAGAACTTTATAGGAGAAATTATTCACGTTGTGAATGGGGGCCCGTCCCCCTACCACTGGATGACAACACCTGGCGTATTGTAGGGTTTACCCGGAGAGTGAGCACTACCACCTGTACACCATGACCCTGGAGTGAAGATCAGCTCACTTTATTTGTGGCTTCGCTCTCTGAATTTGTATCTTATTCATTCAGTCTGGATAATAAGAAGCTCTTTGTCCATATTAAACAAGATAACTCTAGGAATTAGTTCGTCGATTTCTCATTGGCCCAACCACTTGAGCTGGACGGTAGAGCAACGGTCTCGCTTCATGCAGGTCGGCATTCAATCCCGGACCGTCCAAGTAGTTGGGCACCATTCCTTTCTCCAATCCCAAATCTTTATCCTAACCCCTTCTGAGTGCTATATAGTCGTATTGGCTTGGCGCTTTCCCCCCTGGTCATCCCTCCCCTCCCCTCGTCAATTTCTCATCGCATCTATAATCAGAGTCGTATTCCATCAATAACTATAGCAGAGTACAGTAGCTCAAGTGACTGGTGATGGAGTCATGTGGACCACTGTGGCAACAGTGGTTCACTGTTGCTCGTCAGCAACAGTGGTATTGTTGCTGACGAGCAACAGCCTGGTGGAGCAAACTCTCACAAGTCGAGCCTGGCCTCGGGCCGGGCTTGGGGAGTAGAAGAACTCCCAGAACCCCATCAACCAGGTATCAACCAGGTATCAACACATTGGTGGTTCCTGGCAGGCTCCTGGGGGAACTGGCAGCCACTGTGTAGCACTGTCTCCAGTTCCTACACAACCTAGGCACTGCTGTATATATTTTTCTCCAGCAGCGAGAGAATAAAAATGACGAGTATTTTTTATTGGGAAAATGCTGAAGCCGAGTTAGCGGTTGTGGCGGTGCTGAGTGGAGGAGGCTCAACACTCTTGCCTGTCGTGAGTAACAACAAACTCGCCCGACAAAAGACACAGCGAACTCGGCCTCTCAGGAGTCATAGCAAACTTACTTGACAGGATGGACAATGAATTCGTGTGTCAGGAGGTACGACGAACAGGGAACTCACCTTCCGCGCGTGTCGTCGTTGTTCCGTTCCTCTTGGTGGCCGTAGAAGTTGCCTGAAGAAGAATCGTCGACGTCCCACTTGAAGTTGTAGCTGGCCGGAGCAGACGGGTACTGGTTACCTTGTCCACCGGAACCTCCATATCCTCCGGATCCTCCAGGTCCGCCGGGCCCCCCAGGTCCACCGGGCCCTCCAGGGCCGCTGGGCCCCACAGGCCCTGGAGCGCCATAGCCCTGAGGGCTCGCTCTCGCCTTCGCCATCACTACCAGGAGCACCAGCGCCACAGTCTGTTGAGAGGAACACCGTAGAAACTGTAACATTGTGTAATTATTTATATATAATCCAGCTGTAACGAGTGTTTCACCAGCAGGAAGACCGCCTGAGACCTGGTGAGACCGACGACCAGTATGATCACATCACCAGAGTGATGTGATCTTGGTCACATCATCTTGGTGACAGCCAGTCACTGACTCTCAAATCAAGACTGACTGGAAAGTATGTCTTCTGGTAGATAACTTCTACATCAAAACATCAGGAATTACAAATTTCTTGCCCCGCCCCACCGCCGACGTTTTCAGTACCTCTGGGCACATGTCAACTGTTCTGAAACCTTCTTAGTGAAGAGAGCGACGTAGTCAGCCTACTGTGCGACATAGTTTTCCGGGCTTGGTAATACACTTACATGACACACTCAGCAATGTACTCAAGACTAATCTTACACCCACAACAAGAGTCTATGGGAACCTGGGTCATCTGCCTCAGAACGCCTTTTCAGTCATAAAATTATGAAGAAAAATGTGGAGAAAATGCATCATGAACTTCCCAATAACAATTTGTTTTGTTCATGAAATAAATCAAACTATCGCATATTAATCTGGAACAACTCAGCATAGTTGTTTAAGAGAACGTGAACAACTGAACGCTGGTTTGAGACCACGTACCTTCATGCTTGTGTCTTGGATGCGCGCGTCGAGTGAACTACCATCGGTCACACACATTCCTCCGGCTTATATAGTTGAAGCTCTCCACCACCCGTGAGAGAAGGCTGAGGGGGGAGAGGTCCACCCTACTGGTGGTGATGTCAACGGCAGCGTCACACACAACGCAGATATATCTGGGTCATCCAAGGCGGTTGGTGAGCCTTGCATCAGCCCCTGCATGTTGCACGTCAATTGTTGTTGTGGATCATCCCCGTCGCGAGCGCTACAAGCTGTCATCATCTTGCCAGAGGCGGGCCCTCGAGGAATGCTAAGTGGAGTGAGTCGGACATATATGCGCTTCTTTCACCCTCTCAACATATTATACGAATTATTCCTGCCAGTCTATTATATATTATTATTATCATTGTTATTGCTATTATTTGTTTACAAACGAGAGACGCTAGACGCGAAGGTATAGAGTTACAGCTGTAGAACTGGACAATCTTAGATGGATTAGTGGCATTCGGGGGAGAAGGGGAGTGGGGTTGACAGAGAAGGAATCCACCAAAATAATAACACTCGTTATTAACCTCACTGGAAATTCAAATTGGTTCTTACAGTTCCTGCGACGGCGCTGGAACCAATCGTATTGGTGTTTGCCTTACCATTGGAGACTTTCGGCGCCATGGAGAGTGGGGACCTGCTGCATGGGTGACAGCTTCTTTCCCCTATCAACCTACCCTGGCTTTGCGCCCTGGAGAGGCCACTCCAGACCGACAACCAGAGCGCAACTCCATAGTCTCCTGAGACTGATGGATGTCTACTATATAGAGACTTGGAATAAAGACTCACTTATATATTTGTGTATTTTATGTAAAGATACATATGTCTGGATTTTTATCCTATGTTATAGTTGTGAGAAGACATTGACATTACTCACATATAGAGAATGTTTTGGTCAAGCCCTCAAGATCAAGCCACAGGGCGAAGAACATTTGAGATTTGCAGTGGCTCTGTTGTTGCAGTTGTTGAACAACCACTGCATATTCCTCACTGCGCCACTCGCTGCACCTACAACACCACCTACCAATGAACTAAAACCGATAAACGTGTTCCCACTGATGGTATTCCAGAGATAGGGGATTCGATCCCACCCCTCACTGTAATATTTTATCAGATGCAGCCTTTCACACGGCCTATCCAAACCTCTCTTAGACCTACTATACGCAGTCTTACACCTAATGTAGACTTAAGGGGAAACATTTGATCGTCGACGTCCCACTTGAAGTTGTAACTGGCCGGAGCCGAGGAGCACTGGTTACCCTGTCCGCCAGAACCTCCATATCCTCCGTACAACAACCTATCCAGCTGTTGCTGGATAGATAGTTGCCTTTTATCGGACCCTTTGTAATAACCCTTTAAGCTGCAATACTCCATTATTGCACGTTTGACAAAATTGTTTCTGTAACAACTCCCATTTTAGGGGTAGCCAGAGTACAGGGCAAGAACACTTCAAATTTGCTTCTCCCTTGTTGAACAACCACTGTTTTAAACCCCCCACTGTGTCTACCACCTCGCCATCCTGTTCATGTACCAGTGAGTTCTATAGTTTTCTTGAGTCAGTGATGATGAAGGGAAGTTAGGAGAGAGGCGAGAAAGGTGGAGAGGGGCGTAAAGGGGAGGGAGGAATAAGGGACAAGGGAAGAGATACGAGATAGATTAAGAGATAAGAAAGGGGGGAATATGGAAGAGATTGTGGGAAGGAGGAGAGGGGAGAGGGAGGTCTTTATCTCCCAGCCCTCTTATCTTTTCCCTTCTCCCTCTTTCTCACCATCTCCCCCTTCCTCTTACTCTATCCTATCCCCCCTCCCCTTTCCCCATTCCATCTTTCTTTCCCTCTTTTCCAAAAAATCTATCTCTCCTCTCTCTTCCTCATCTTTTTCCCCCTCTCCTTCCCCTCCCCCCAAACATTCCCCTTCACCCCTTTCCTCTCTCCTCCTTCTCCTTCCATTTCCCCCCTTTCCATTATTCTTTCCCTCGTGTCTCCCCAATATCTCTCCACTCCCTCTCTCTCCCCTTCTCCCCCCCTCTCCTCCATCTCCCTTTTACCTCCCCTCTCAAACTTTCTCTCTTCTCTCCCTAACACAAGCCTCTCCTCCCAAAGAGAGAGAGAGAGAGAGAGGAGAGAGAGAGAGAGAGAGAGAGAGAGAGAGAGAGAGAGAGAGAGAGAGAGAGAGAGAGAGAGAGAGAGAGAGAGAGAGAGAGAGAGAGAGAGAGAGAGAGAGAGAGAGAGAGAGAGAGAGAGAGAGAGAGAGAGAGAGAGAGAGAGACAGAGAGAGAGAGAGAGAGAGAGAGAGAGAGAGAGAGAGAGAGAGAGAGAGAGCCCGCGAGAGAGAGAGAGAGAGAGAGAGAGAGAGAGAGAGAGAGAGAGAGAGAGAGAGAGAGAGAGAGAGAGAGAGACAGAGACAGAGACCCGTCATGGTCCCACGAGATGGGGAAAAACGCACACTATTCAAACACAATTGATGGCGTTCTCAGCCACCCGCCCCCCACCGCCACCTCAGCAACCCCCCGCCACCTCACCACCACGCCACCCCCCACACCACCACCGTCGTCACCTCCACCACCGCCGTGACAGGCAGATCAAGCATAATTGTCTCTGATTTCGTTGGCAGGTAATATATTGGTGGCGTTATGAGACGCAAGAAACCTGGTGAAGGTGTTCGTTGACTCTCCGTTAGCAATGTGATGATTGGAAATACTGGAGCAGGAAATATAGAAGTGATGTGCTCGAAATTTTGGAGTCTGGAGAAGTAACGAGGCTCTAGATGATACAGAGGGTAACGCAGTGACTGGTAACGCAATGGGTGGAAAAGCGGCAGCTATCTTTCACGCCTTTAAAGGTGTCCGAGGGAATGACATGACCTGCGTTATTGTGTATGTCCTAGTTACTAGTGACACAGTACCAGTAATGCCTGTTACTTGACAGAATCAGTATTACCAGTCACTGTTGAAAGAGCATTATTATTATTGAAAGAGCATATAGTGCAGGAAGAGCACTGTATGAAAGAGCAAGGCGTTTCGTGACACCCGGGGCCGAGGCGCTGCACCAACTCCTCTGATAATCGCCTTCTTGGTGAGGCCGGTGTTCGGACTCTAGACCCGGATGTGTGAGGTAATACGAACACCGGCGCGTATCATCACTGTTACGCACTCGTCCAGGGGCGTATGAGAGGGCCGCGTCCGTCTCCCGGGGATGCGTAACTGAGCGTCAGGGCGTAAGACGGGCCGGGGATGAGGCAAGGCCTCATCTCCTGTTGAGAGCATCTCATGCTCTCAACATCCTATAGGGATGTTGAGAGCAGCGCTGGTACCAGCGGCAGGGAGGCTGGTGATGCTGGTGGTGGTGGTGATGATGCTGGTGGTGGTGGTGCTGCTGCTGCTGGTGGTGCTGGTGGTGGTGGTGCTGCTGCTGCTGGTGGTGCTGGTGGTGGTGGTGATGCTGCTGGTGGTGGTGGTGGTGCTGGTGGTGGTGGTGGTGCTGGTGGTGGTGATGCTGCTGGTGGTGGTGGTGGTGGTGGTGGTGATGCTGGTGGTGGTGCTGGTGGTGGTGGTGATGCTGGTGGTGGTGATGCTGGTGGTGATGCTGGTGGTGGTGATGCTGGTGGTGGTGGTGGTGGTGATGCTGGTGGTGGTGATGCTGGTGGTGGTGGTGGTGGTGATGCTGGTGGTGGTGGTGCTGGTGGTGGTGGTGATGCTGGTGGTGGTGCTGCTGGTGGTGATGCTGGTGGTGGTGGTGCTGCTGGTGGTGGTGGTGGTGGTGGTGATGCTGGTGGTGGTGCTGGTGGTGGTGGTGATGCTGGTGGTGGTGCTGCTGGTGGTGATGCTGGTGGTGGTGGTGATGCTGGTGGTGGTGCTGGTGGTGGTGGTGATGCTGCTGGTGGTGCTGGTAGTGGTGGTGGTGGTGGTGGTGCTGCTGCTGCTGCTGCTGGTGGTGGTGGTGGTGGTGGTGGTGGTGGTGATGCTTCTCTTCCCCACCAACACATCCCTCTCACCCCCCTTCCCTTCCTCAGGTACACCTTGTGAGCTTGACGTTAGAAACTTGTAAAGGAATCATTCAGAATCTTGTATACCCACATATGTCAGACCAGTCCACCAGCATGCAGCTCCAGCCTGGAGTCCATTCTTAGTTAAGCACATGACAAAGTTAGAGAAGACTAAGAGGTATGCTACCAGACTAGTCCCAGAACTGACAGATATGAGTTACGAGGAAAGGCAACGGGAACTAAACCTCACGTCCCTGGAAGACAGAAGAGTTAGCGGAGACATGATCACCATTTACAAAATTCTCATAGGATTTGAAAGGGTGGACAAAGACAAACTATTTAGAATGTATGGAACACGAACAAGGGGACACAGGTGGAAACTGAGTACCCAAATGAGCCACAGGGACGTTAGAAAGACCTTTTTCAGTGTCAGAGTAGTTAACAAGTGGAATGCATTAGACAGTGATGTGGTGGAGGCTGACTCCATACACAGTTTCAAATGTAGATATGATAGTGCCCAGTAGGCTCAGGAACCTGTACAGCAGGTGATTGACAGTTGAGAGGCGGGACCAAAGTGCCAGAGCTCAACCCCCTCAAGCACAACTAGGTGAATACCTCTCCCAACCAACACTGTTCCCCCCTCACCATCAAACACACCCCCCCTCTCCTCCTCACCATCAAACACCCCCCCCTCTCCTCCTCACCATCAATCAACCTCCAACTCCTCTTTGTGTCTACAACCATCAATCGCCCGGGAAGAATATAATAGCATATATATCAACTTAATTCCTTATTATTATGTCAGTGTTCTATCGAACTATTACTTCTGGGCGGCAACAATAACGTCTAGAGTGGAGTGAATTACACCGGAGGTCATTATGGCTTTGTTTTGTATTCTACTTCATTGTTTACCAACAATATGTAACCACGTGGTACTGTACCATTTGTAACCCGCGCGGTACGGACACGGCTGTGTGTGTACCACTATGGTACTCCACCATTCATAACCCGTGCGGTGCGCATAGCGACATTTTCCTCACCCTAGATAAGAAGTGAACTTAATACAGTTACTTGTGAGTTCTGTGAGTGCCCGGCAACACTGAGTGACTGTTTGGCTGAATCTCTCGGTACGTGAGTGTGTTTAGGTACCTGAGTGTATATCACCTGATCGTGAGTGTGTTTAGGTACCTGAGTGTATATTACCTGATCGTGAATGTGTTTAGGTACCTGAGTGTATATTACCTGATCGTGAATGTGTTTAGGTACCTGAGTGTATATTACCTGATCGTGAGTGTGTTTAGGTACCTGAGTGTATATTACCTGATCGTGAATGTGTTTAGGTACCTGAGTGTATATTACCTGATCGTGAGTGTGTTTAGGTACCTGAGTGTATATTACCTGATCGTGAATGTGTTTAGGTACCTGAGTGTATATCACCTGATCGTGAGTGTGTTTAGGTACCTGAGTGTATATTACCTGATCGTGAATGTGTTTAGGTACCTGAGTGTATATCACCTGATCGTGAATGTGTTTAGGTACCTGAGTGTATATCACCTGATCGTGAATGTGTTTAGGTACCTGAGTGTATATCACCTGATCGTGAGTGTGTTTAGGTACCTGAGTGTATATCACCTGATCGTGAATGTGTTTAGGTACCTGAGTGTATATCACCTGATCGTGAGTGTGTTTAGGTACCTGAGTGTATATCACCTGATCGTGAGTGTGTTTAGGTACCTGAGTGTATATCACCTGATCGTGAGTGTGTTTAGGTACCTGAGTGTATATTACCTGATCGTGAGTGTGTTTAGGTACCTGAGTGTATATTACCTGATCGTGAATGTGTTTAGTTGCTCTATTGGGATAGACAGTTAATTAATATCCAGAGATTGTAGCAATACCAATATGATGAAGCAGAGTCGCGTATTATTAGTTCAGTCTAGGGTGCTGGTAGTTCAGTCTAGGGTGCTGGTAGTTCAGTCTAGGGTGCTGGTAGTTCAGTCTAGGGTGCTGGTAGTTCAGTCTAGGGTGCTGGTAGTTCAGTCTAGTGTGCTGGTAGTTCAGTCTAGGGTGCTGGTAGTTCATTCTAGGGTGCTGGTAGTTCAGTCTAGGGTGCTGGTAGTTCAGTCTAGGGTGCTGGTAGTTCAGTCTAGGGTGCTGGTAGTTCAGTCTAGGGTGCTGGTAGTTCAGTCTAGGGTGCTGGTAGTTCAGTCTAGGGTGCTGGTAGTTCAGTCTAGGGTGCTGGTAGTTCAGTCTAGGGTGCTGGTAGTTCAGTCTAGTGTGCTGGTAGTTCAGTCTAGGGTGCTGGTAGTTCAGTCTAGGGTGCTAGTAGTTCAGTCTAGGGTGCTGGTAGTTCAGTCTAGGGTGCTGGTAGTTCAGTCTAGGGTGCTGGTAGTTCAGTCTAGGGTGCTGGTAGTTCAGTCTAGGGTGCTGGTAGTTCAGTCTAGGGTGCTGGTAATTCAGTCTAGGGTGCTGGTAGTTCAGTCTAGGGTGCTGGTAGTTCAGTCTAGGGTTCTGAATGTTAATCTTTCACTAAACACACGCAGCACAAATGATAGAATAACCATATATCTGTGAGTTAGACAATGAGTCTCAGCTCTACTGGTGTACCACTGACAGTACACAGCACTGCGTAACTTAGTTAATGACAATTGTGTTCAGGATTGTCCAGTTGCGGGTTCTTGATCACAGGTAGCACCAATCAAACGAGTAGAGTGTCACGGTTCCATAGAGAACACAATAAACTTCCTGGTGACTCTGGGGAACAGCTTGACTTTTTCAGCGATCAAAAAATACAATTCAAAATAGGTATTTCTTCTTACTATATAGCAAAACTTTATACACAGATCTCCACAAAATTTTCCAAAAAGCTCTACACATGATACTTTGCCCAAATAGGCCCAGATGTGCTCTTGATGTCATCGACACCCTGGCCCCGTACCCAAGAGAGAGAGAGAGAGAGCCCGTGGTCAAAACGTTTCTCTAAGTATTGCTGACGGCTCTTGATGTTGATATGGCATGCTGGTGTCGAAGACGGTATGAAGGGGATTCGGGGTTTGCCCGCTGGAGAGAGTAGTCGTCGGCTGCGTTCTCTAGTACTTGCTGACCCAGTCTGGTGTGCGGTCATTTAGTGGTGTGGTTCGTGGGGGTTTGAGCCCGCGTTCACCTGTGTGATGGGAGTGTGTCTCCCCGCGGTGCAGCGTTCATTGACGTTTGGACTTGAATTTTCCAGGAATGTGGACTGCCAGCTCGTGGATGTGGCATTGTTTGACGTCTTGACGGTTGCCGTGGCGGACGTAGGAGGTGTCCAACTAATTTCAAGTCACCGTGTGGTCGTTAAGCTATGTTCCTTGGTTGTCTACAGGGATTTCTTCAAGCTCTATGATGGGCACTCCTTCCAGCTGCCTGCCGATGCGGGTTCTGTGGTTGTTTCGGACAGCAGTGGCACGTCCACGTATGTCAGCGTTCATGGAATGCCCTTCGAGTTTCCCGAGGTGCTGTTATGGCGCTATTTTGGTTAGTTTGGTCGGGTGTTGTCCATCAGGATGAACATTCTTTCGTCCAGCCGGCTGAAGGGTGTCCAGAATGGGATACACACGCTGACCATGCAGCTGAAGGCTGATATCCCTTCTTCTGAAAAGCTGATGGGGGTATTGCATCATGGTGTTCTACGTTCGGCAGTCGCGTACGTGCTTCCGTTGCGGGGTGTCGGGGCACCAGGCTGTGGGGTACAGTGCAGGGAGCGTGGACCGAGTGAATCTCTTTCAGGAGGAGGCTATTTTCCATCTGGATATGCTGGACCATTGTGTGTTGGCGAGAGTGTGTCCGAGGATGATGTGCCAGTGCGGAGTGCTGTTGCTGGGTCTTTCAATGTTGCAGTGCCGGTTTCTGCAGGCCCTCTGGTTGGCGATGGGGGGGGTCGTGGTAGTGGACGGTGTGGCTCCGCCCACGTCCCCGGCTTCCCCGCCTCTGGCGCCCCTGCCTGCCCCGTCTCCTGATGAGGTGTCCCCACTTGTCGTAGCTGCGGTGCTGCGGGATTGTGCTATACGTGGTGTTGCGCGTCCTCTTGTGGGTTCTGTTGCGGTGTCTCGTGATGGGTGTGATAGTTCTGACGACCAGCGGCCTGTCTCCAAGCGTTCGAGACGAGCTCGAAGTGTCTCCTCCTCGTGGTGTGCCCTAGGCTGACGTGCAGTCTTCTGAGGATTCTGATGTGGGTGATGAGAATGATGTGTGAACTCGGTTCTGGACCCGGTTCCCATCTTGCCTCCGCCGGGGGAGGAGATCCCGGACTTTATGTATCGCCCGCGTGACGGTGTCCCCCGGACGGACGAAGTGTGGGACGCTTACATTTTCGTAGTATCCGTATAGTCGGTATTGAGAAAAGTATCGTCGTTCTGTATCCTAATTTATGTTTTTGGTGGGTTGTTCAGTGTTTTGTGTTTAGTGTGTGTGTTTGTAAAGTTTTGGCTCTTCAGTGTTTCTTTTCTGTGATTATTTTTGTATCTTTTGCTGAATATCTAATAAACATTAGTATGGTCCAGGTAACTGCCACTGATTCCTCTGACTAACGAAATGTTACTGTTTTTGTTATTGTACTTTGTGCCCCTGTGTTTGGTGGTGGTGTTCTGTTCTTATGTTCCTGTGAAAAAATAAATTTCTGTGTTCCCATGTGCTTGTGCTTTGTTGTGTGATGTGTTGTTCTGTGTTCTGTTTTGCGGGCTGCTTCAGTACCTAATATTTTATTGTATTTATGTCGCATGCCATTTTTATTTATATATAAACATAAAAAAAAAATAAAAAAAATCGCAGAAACCACTGCTTATACAGAGAAATAACGTAGCAAGTGAAACAAAAACAATAACTTCATATATAATTATATATATTTATTTGTGCATATTTAATTTGTCAGTATACAAAAATATAACTGCATCTACATATTTTTTTTCTCTGAGGCACGGAGCTGCAATCGATCGATCGCTTACTAAACACACATTAGACTCCAACCTACACAATACATGGCATTATAATCTAAAAAGTAGTATGGATGAGCACTGAAAAACTCATAAGTGGAGGGAAGAGGTTATACTTGGCACAAGACTTCTAGATCGAGATGTCAAGAATCCTGCCACGAGTCCTGTCTCTCACGTTAGAGGCATTAAGGTATATAATGAGAGTTTAGAAATAAATAAGGCGTTCATTTCAGTGTGTTGTCCGGGAGCCCATCACGAAGGTCTCTCAGAGAACACCTGAGAGCATCATGTATGTGTGGCTGTGGTTAGTCTAAGTACTGGTGATGGTGAGTCGTTATATTCCCGGTTATTTATTTTCCTGGTGTGGCGTAGAACTGCGAGGGAGCTGGGACTGGTTGCCTGGGAGCTGGGGCAGGCTGAGAGTACCCCTGGCTGAGAGCTGGCACTGGTTGCCTGGGAGCTGGGGCAGGCTGAGAGTACCGTTGGCTGGGAGCTGGGGCAGGCTGAGAGTAACCCTGGCTGGGAGCTGGGGCAGGCTGGGAGTAGCCCCTAGCCGGGGCGCTTGGGTACTGGGCCTCGCCCTCAAAGGTGACAGTAGGGTGATAGCCGGTCTGGTCGACGTAGTAGTCCACCCTCATGAGCCGGGTGTCCGGCAGCCGGACGTAGTAACTGTGGACAGAATTGTGGTCAGTGGACAACTTGCAAGTCAAAGATTCAGAAAAAAAAAATTGAAAATGTTAAATAAACCATCTTGGAAGTGAAAAGAGTAAGATAATGCTATCTAAGTAATACCTGCTAAGTAATATACAGATAATGAAGGATAGTGAAAAAGGAGCCTCGGGAGTTAGAGGTTAACGATCTGAAACTCGCTATAAGCAGTCCACTAAAGGATGTAAAGGAATCCAATTCAATCTTGGGGTTTGTCGGAAGATCTTTTGAGTGTCGATCGTAGAAGGTCATTCTCACCCTAACATTGCACTTACACTTGTGATACTGGAATAATGCACGAGGTGCTGGTAACTCTTCTTTGATCACTGTTCTCTGCACCTGGAGACCGTAGATTCACCTGTCCTTTACTGCCGGTGACCGTAGACTCACCTGCCCTGGGTGTTGTCTCCGTCCCTCTGCTCTTGGTGACCGTAGAAGTTGCCTGATGGCTGGTCGTTGACGTCCCACTGGAAGTTGTACTGGGCGGGGGCGTCGGGGTACTGGGGTCCACGTGCCACTGGTTCCTGGTAGTCGTAGGCGCCCTGGGGAGCCGCCGCCACCACCGCCACCGCCAAGATTACCAAAGCCACAATCTGATGAACGTACAGACAAGACATTTGCCGTTAATGTTTGGTTTTCACTGCAATCACATTCCATACTTGAAATGCTGAAACAAAAAAGCAAAAACACCACACTATATGTAGTCTGGCAGATTGTAACCCCATCCATTAAGAACAACAGAAAATGTCTGTATGCTGATTAACACTGTGAATGAATAGCCACGTCTCTGCTAATACAAAAAAAATACAAAAGGTAATTATATAAGCTATTTAAGGACTTTATTCAAGCGTGAAACAAGTGACTGTGGCGCTCGCTAGACTGTCTCGCAACTGGAGGGAGGAACTGGTGACAGTCAATGTTGTCACACTTAGTTTTATACCAAAATAATTATGAAATTATTCAATATTACTGAAGATTTGACCTAAAAATAGTATTTGGAGACTGTAAGATACCTTTACTCAGCATCTTATTTTCAATACCTTGCTCAGCAACGTAGCTTCACTACCCTGCTCAGCACCTTAGTTTAATACCCACGTAGCATGAGCATTTTGCTCAGAACGCTAACCAATACTGTCGGAATTTTTGATTATTATATATTTATTTATTTATATATACAAGAGATCTTGGTAGAGCGTAACTCTGACTTCATGCTGTAACCAGCGTCTGTACCCACATAAACTGTAGCTGTAAGGTAGTATCGCTGCCCCCTACAGCTGACTGGGAATTGTGCAATAAAACTTGCCCGCGACAAAGTGCAACGATATCAACTCCCGTTTTAGAAGCTTTTTAGAGTCTATAATCCAAGAAGTTGAATACGATTTCGGTTTGATGCTAGAGGTTTAAGGCCCTAAAGATCGGCAGAAAGGTTACTAAGGCTACAACAAGAGTATACCTTAGTCCCCAACATCATGCAGGACCAAAGTAAACTCGCAGGGTATACCGATTGATAAAGATTGATAAAGATTAAGCCACCCAAAAGGTGGCACGGGCATGAATAGCCCGTAAGTGGTGGCCCTTTTGAGCCATTACCAGTATCAAGAGCTGATACTGGAGATCTGTGGAGGTGCGACTGCACCCTGCGTGACGGGAGATGTCTCCCGTGAGGGTATACCCACACTTCGCAGTATATATATACACTGAGAAGAGGAGCGTACACCTCTCGTTATGCTAGGCGAGGGGCGGTGAGTTACCTTCATGGTTGTACCGGGGAGGAAGTCCTGAGCTGAACTGATGCCCTGGTCACCCGCTCTCAGCCTTATAACGGCAGCGGCTGACATCATCAGTGTCAAGGCAGCGGGCGCGGTGGCCGCCTTGCAGTCCATAAACCCGTATTCTTCCTTTGTTTCTCACGTCAGCCAAATCACATTTCGTTTCCACGACCCTCAGGCCCCCAGGGCGCCCAAGAGCGAGCGTGAGGGTGCCAGGACTCAGACGTGAGTGAGGGAGGAACGTTGAACTGATGTTGACAATGTGCATATTTATTTGGGGATATCTACAAAAGTTATTCACCCTCCATTATAGGGCTCAGTAGCACAGTGACATCAGTGAAGGAGAGAGCAAAATGTGTGTGTAATGGTGTGAATAATTTGTAGAAGTATTCACCTTAATATCCTTGCTCTTCAACTGGATAAATGCACGCGATTCAAAGACCTCACGAAGGTACCTCATAAAGGATTTCGTTTAATCCTTTATTATAAATAATTTTACAGCGATTATGTAAGGCTTGAATAATCAGCCCCACAGGAAGGTATCTCCGCTCACGTCGTTATCAGGCCACAGGAAGTGCCTCCTCCCATGTCGTTATCATACTTTACCTTACGTTGATGGGGTTCTGGGAGTTCTTCTACTCCCCCGACTTGTGAGAGTTTGGTCCACCAGACTGTTGCTTGGAGCGGCCCGCAGGCCCACATACCCACCACAGCCCGGTTGGTCCGGCACTCCTTGGAAAACTATCTAGTTTCCTCTTGAAGATGTCCACGGTTGTTCCGGCAATATTTCTTATGCTCGCTGGGAGGATGTTGAACAACCGTGGACCTCTGATGTTTATACAGTGTTCTCTGATTGTGCCTATGGCACTTCTGCTCTTCACTGGTTCTATTCTGCATTTTCTTCCATATCGTTCACTCCAGTATGTATTTTTTTTACTGTGTAGATTTGGGACCTGGCCCTCCAGTATTTTCCACGTGTATATTATTTGATATCCCTCTCGTCTCCTTTCTAACGAGTACATTTGGAGAGCTTTGAGACGATCCCAATATGTTCAGGTCCTTTATCGTGTCTACCTGACAGCTGGGTGGACAGCGCTTCGGATTCGTAGTCCTGAGGTTCCGGGTTCGATCCCCGGTGGAGGCGGAGACAAATGGGCATAATGTTTCTTTCACCCTGATGCCCCTGTTACCTAGCAGTAAATAGGTACCTGGGAGTTAGACAGCTGCTACGGGCTGCTTCCTGGGGGTGTGTAACAAAAAGGAGGCCCTGGTCGAGGACCGGGCTGCGGGGACGCTAAGCTCCGAAATCCCCTCAAGATAACTAGGCCACAGGAAGAGTCTAACTATACAGCAAATTCTAATATATATAATAAAATTCATTTGTATTTTAGAAAATACAGATTTTGAATACACGGTTAAGAGTGCTGAATGCGTATGTGGTGTTGGCCGCAGCTCGAACGAGTATTGAGAACGAATTCCATTGCTCGTCCAAGCTGTGGCTGAACCTAAAGTCCTAATCAAAACGTTTAACATTCTGTGTGTTCAAAATTAGTATTTTCTCATATAGATATTTATTATTATATTACAATATGAACATAGTTAGGTCTAGATTTAGGTGAGGTCAGGTGTTTGGATTCTGTTGGCGATTACTTGTATTTTCACCTGTCCTCAGGCCAGGCCTCTTAATCCAGCAGCCGTCCTCCACGACACGGGACACAGCACCGCTCCTGTGCCAGGTAAGTCCACTACGGGCTCACCATAGCCCGTGCTACTTGCCCCGCTCCTGTGCCAGGTAAGTCCACTACGGGCTCACCATAGCCCGTGCTACTTGCCCCGCTCCTGTGCCAGGTAAGTCCACTACGGGCTCACCATAGCCCGTGCTACTTGCCCCGCTCCTGTGCCAGGTAAGTCCACTACGGGCTCACCATAGCCCGTGCTACTTGGAACTTGTTCCGAGTAGCTGAATCTATAACAACAACAACCTCCACGACACACCCATTAATTTTAACTAATTGTTTAATGGAATTTGGTTTGTTCTCAAATATATATTAATGTTACTATATATTGAAGTTCTACGCAAAGTTAGGCACAGGTTAGGTTAGGTGTTTAGGTTCTGTTAGCGATTATTTGTATTTGAAGTTCGTGGGTGATGCTTTTACAGAGTTGCGATTCGAACAGAGGTCGTCAGCGAAGCACTGTTCGAAAAATGTTTGAACGTCGTCAGTTGGGAGTCGTGTAAATTTCGTTTATGAACGAAAAATGTATAAACATTATTCGTTCATAAACAAGGGGGGGGGTTGACGGGTGGGTTAATTAGCATTTGGCCTTTGTTGATGAGGACGGACTATGTATTTGTTGCACGTGAGTGAAGCATTTACAGAGACACTGATTCGAATAGTGGAAGTGAGAGAAACGTTGCTCGAGAAATGTTCGAACACGTTCAGTTGAGTCGAAACCTTGCCCTTCATCAGCATTGCAATCCATTCTCATCAACAAATGTCATATTTTCGTTAGAACAGCAACTAAACTCCTGTTTATGAATGTGAAACGGTTTCAACTGATGACGTTCGAACTTCTATTGAACAGTGCTTCGATGACGACTATTGTTCGAATCGCAACTTATAAGTGCCTCACCCACGTACTTCAACTCCATATAATCAGCAACAGAACCTAATCACCTGACTTACGCCTAATTAAACATAAACTTGTAATGTATAGTATTTTAATTTATATGTGAGAAAAACGACTTTGGATTCATATTACTTTACGACTATTGAATTGTAGACCGCTGCCTGAACGACCCTAGCCTGAGGTAAGCTTGTTTGCAGGAAATATCAGTCGATGACAGGCCTTTACTGCTCTAGCAAAATGACATTCTTCTTGGTCCCCTCCGCTCCTTCCTTCAGTGCTCCTCGTCTTGAGCTGAATGTTTACGATGTCTTGCAAGTTTTATGGATGCTGGCGTGTCTTACGCAGTGTTGGGTGAACTTCTTGACCCAATCTGACCTCACTAGACGAAGGACACCAGCCACCGCATCCTTCAAACAAGGTAAGCAAATTTCTCGATTAGCAACCATCATCTTCACCTGAATTGCTTTTATGTGTTGTAGCTTATAAACCAAGATGCCTAAGAAGCCAAAATTTAACGAAGTTATATAATTTTAAAAAATTATTGTGGAATGATCAAGCTTTCCATTATATTATATATGATATTAATTTTTTTAATGAGTTAAAACAACATAAAAGTAATCAAACCTAATCTACCTAACCTAACCTACCTAACATAACTAAGTCAAGTCGAATATGTCTAAGTCCCTAAGACCATGAATTAAGTTCATATTCTTAATATAATAATGAAAATAAATCAACATGAAAATAAATATTTGAAAATAAAGCGAATCACTCTTCCTGTTAGGCAAATCGGACTTTGCATACTAGGCCAAGTAGTGCGTTCTGGCTATTAGTGTGTCAAAGGACATGTAATCGTTCGCGTGGTCATTACGTCATATTTGTGATGTATGAGGATGGAAATGTATAAAGGCATTTCACTAAAGCCTCTGACTAATGCACGCTGAATTCATTACAGGTAAAGGGATCACATCTCTCCCAAGGACCAGACCTCCACCAATTTTAAGGTACGTCCCCCATATCCTTGTGTTGTGAATTCGTTTCTAAATTGGAGATATCTAGCGGACCCAGGATGCAGGAGATGGATACCATCGTCGGACGTGTTATAATCTCTTTGGTGGAGAACTGTATGCACAATCACCTCCGACGTCCTCCTATTCTCTCCACCTTCCGTATAATAGTAGCCATTCGTAACTATAGTTCGACTCGCTGCGATTCAGGGCCGAAATGATATATTTTAACATAATTGTTGCCATATTATGACGCGGAGTATATGAGAGTATGAGAAGATCGGAGTGAAGAGTGGGCCCAGGAACTAAAGCTTGAGAGTGGATGTGAAGAATCGTAGGATTCTGAGGAAGAGTAGGCCTAAGGGAGACCCCTAATGAGCGGATAGCAACCCGTCCTCTTAAAAATAACGTCACTTTTCGCTCGTATGCGCGCTATGGCCAAATTTGGACGTAATTTGAAATGTAATCGACTCACAAAAGTGACGTACTGTCCCGTTTTCTGTTTGAGTCGTACGGCTTACTCGGTAAGGTTAGAAGAGGAAAGTTTTTAATTAACGTTTTTCATAACGTTTTGAAACTTTATGAGAATTTCCTGCCCGCCTAACCTATCGGAGGACCTTTAACTTACTGTTGTTGTAAAATAAAATCCCAAATTTATTTTCACTTTTTTTTCATTTTCAAATTACGTCCACTTTCGGCCATACGGGCAAACGGCCAAAAGCGACGTTATTTTTAAGAGCACAGGTTGGGGTAACTATAGAAAACTCCATGGCATTCACTGCGAGGCATGACTGAAGAATCTGGCATCAGTAGTTAGCAAAGAACGAAACGTATTTTGAAAATTCTGTTTTTCTCTCTCTTGTGCGATAAATGCAAATTGATAATATTTCGGATTCCATCAAAACATTTTTGGAAGAAGTTTTAGGGGAAAAAAATTATGAAAACAAGATCGAGACGCAAACAAAACTTAAGTTGCGTAAAACAGCTGGAAAATGTCAAAGAAACATTATATAAGGTTCTTCATCAAGACCTCATAGGAACATATTACGCAATATGGTTCGTAATATAATATTTTTCGTAATTTTAATCGTAAAAATTTAATATTCATTTCGTAAAAACATTGCCTAATATGTAATATATAATATTACATACAAGAAACATAGGACGTAATATGTACTCTGGCAGAATACATATACAGGGTAACATGTACCCTGGCAGGGTGCAGGTTACCTACTCCGGCAGGGTACCCATCCTTCTGTTCAGATAGTAGTTTTGGTAACTATGTGTACCATAGTAAAAACATTGACATGGAATGCAATAAGATAGTAGAATTTGGTACTAATCTCATCATAAAAGTCCGAAAAAATAGAGCTAAAAACCAAATGTTCCTAGACCTAGTATAGCACATATATGTACTAAATTAGACCTGGGGAAGGTTAGAATAGTTAGTTTATGTTGTCTTTGCAAAATAAATGC